GTCGCAGCTGCCATTTTGATTTTCAAAATAGTGGCTGCGGGGCACGCGGCCGCACGGAGGAGAAAATACACCACGGTGGCGGCACGCGGCGGTGGCGGCAGGAATCGGCCTGGGCCGGTAAATCCGGCGACCTGGGCCGGAACCGGCCTGGGGGCCGTAGGTTGCTGGCCCCTGCTTTAACAGATAAAAGACAATTGAAAAGATAAAAGACAATTAAAAGCAGTTCAAAGGAGCTCTCCAAGGTCCTGAATCTATTTAGGAATATGGTTCACTGCTTTGGAAAGTTCCTTTAAACCAGTGGTTTCCAAACTTTGGTCCTCCAGATGTTTTGTACTTCAGCTCCCAGAATTTCTGACTGCTGGCCAAACTGGCTAGGACGTCTGGGAGTTGAAGTCCAACAAACTCTGGAGAATCAAAGTTTGGGAATCACGGGTTTAAATCACAGAATCATAGAATCCTAGAGTTGAAAGGGTCTCCCAGAGGCCATCCAATGCAATCCCTGCTCAGTGCAGGATCTCCAGCTAAAGCTTCCCCAGCAGGGAGCTCTCTAGCCCAGGGGTCCCCAAACTACAGCCTACAGGCTGAACCTGCCCTGTTGAGGCCTTTCCACCGGCCTGCAGCCAGTCCTGCTGCCCCTGCCGCACCATTGCTGCGCTGCCGCTACGTGCGTACAACGCGGGGTGCCATTTTGTGTTCCAAAATGGCACCGGAGTAGTGTGCATGCACACGCAACACGGGGTGACATTTTGTGTTCCAAAATGGCACCTGGAGTTGTGCGCATGCGCACGCGATGCTGAGCACATATGCACGACTCTGGACGCCATTTTGGAACACAAAATGGCACCCAAGTAGTGTGCATGCGTGCGCACCTCCGGCTGTGTTTTTTTTTTTCCTTCGGCCCTCTGAAGATCTGGGGGACAGCGAACCGACCCCCAGCTGAAAAAGTGTGGGGACCCCTGCTCTAGCCTTTTTCAGAAAACAAAAAAAGCACCGTTAAAGCATAATTTAAAACCTGGAGTGGGTTCACCACTCCACTGACCGGGACGATGTCAGCTTTGCTGCTGAACAGCAAAATATTCTGTAACCTCCCCCCCCCCCCCCCAAAAAAAAACCACCTTTCATTTCAGCCCACGTGAGCTATGGCACTCTTTCTAAATGCAAAGGAGAGAAGTGATGAGCATGTATAAGAAGCAAAAGCAAAACAGGAGACAGAGCTCCATGTGCTGATAGATCGTCACTTGTTTTACTAGCTTTTAAAAAGCAACACCCAGGCTTTTTAAAAAGATTAAGAAATAAAGCAAGTGACCATCAATCAGCACATGTAGCTCTGTCTCTCCTGTTTTGCTTTCGACTCCTTCTCAACACAAAGACTCATGACTCAAGGCAGCCTGGTTCATACAGAAAACACGATTCTCTGCAAAGCATTGATTTTGTGTTCCTGAGTGGAAGAATGGGTTGGGACTGGATGGCCTTTGGGGTCTCTTCCAACTCTAGGATTCTATGAGTCTATGATTCATACCACCCACCCTCTGAGATAGTAAAATGCTTTAGTATTAGAGTAAGAAGCACAATGAGTACACACCGACAGACAATGAACCATGCGGCCAACAGGTTGCCTGATTGACAACGGTGGGGGTTGGAACGCGCTGAGCCCTCCTACGAGATGTCAAGAAGACACTAACTGCAGTGAATGTTGAATGGCATCCCCTTGTTTTTTTGCAGACGCTTACAATCCAGAAGTCAGAGAAACTCTTTGTCATCTCCTGAAGACAACCTCAGAGTGTTGGAGCTACAAGCAAAGAAGGAGATCCCTGATCCGTGGGATTGTTTTGAAGGAGCGGATTGTTCCCAAAAAGAACTGTCAGCAGTTGGAGGGGCTCACCATCACCAGGGAGCTAGGAAGGAGAGGCAAGCTTTCTATCCCACTTAAAACAAACCAGTAGAGACTGAGCAGGTTGTAACTGGCAGAAGGGAGGGACGGAACAAGCTGGCCAGGATGTTGCATCGGAAGAAGCCAGTGGAATCATAGAATCCTAGTGTTGGAAGAGACCCCCAAGGGCCATCCAGTCCAATCCCCTTCTGCCATGCAGGAAGACACTATCCAAGCACTCACTGTGACAGATGACCATCCAGACTCTGTTTGAGAACCTCCAAAGAAGGAGACTTCACCATCCTCAAAGGCAGCGTCTTCCACTATCAATTAGCTCTTAATGTCAGGAGGTTCTTCCTAATGAACCAAGAAACCCCTGGATGCAAGGCCATAGATAGAATCACAATCGCAAGATGTGATGCTGCTTAGGATGTGCCACATTGTCACAGAATCCTAGAATTGGAAGAGACCTCAAGGGCCATCCAATTCAACCCCTTTCGGCCATGCAGGAATACACAATCAAAGTACTCTCTGTGAAAGATGATCATCCATGTGTATGTTTAAAGACCTCAAAAGAAAGAGATTCCATCATTCTCCGAGGCAGCATCTTCCACTGTCAAACAGCTCTTACTGTCAGGAAGTTCTTCCTAAAGTTGAGCTGGAATCTCTTTTCTTGTAGCTTTGACCCATTGCTCTGTGTCCTGGTCTCTGGAACAAGCTTGCCCCATCCACAATATGATGCCTCTTCAAATATTTAAGCTTGGCTAAGATGTCTCATCCACAGGATCGCCATAAGCTGAGGTGGACTCAAGTGCAGTTAACAACAACAACAACTATAACAACATATCACCCTTGGAATCTTTTCCTGTAGTTTAAATCCATTGCTCCGTGTCCATTCTCTGGAGCAGCAGAAAATAAGCTTGCTCCATCCTCAATATGACACCCCAGATCTATCATGTCACCTCTTAACCTTCTCTTCCTCAGGCTAAACTTTCCAGTTCCCTAGGTTGCTCCTCAGAGGAATTGAGGGTTTCCAGATCCTTCACCATTTTAGTCTCCCTCCTATGAACACATCTAGCTTTTCAATATCCTTGTCAATATCCTTTTTGAATGGTGGTGCCCACAACTGGACACAATATTATTCCAGGTGGATCTGACCAAAGCAGAATAGAGTGCTATTACTTTCCCTCGACCCAGACACTATACTTCTATTGATGCATCCTAGAATTGTATTGGCTTTTTTAGTTGCTGCATCACACTGTTGACTCACATTCAGTTTGTGGTCTAATAAGACCCCTTGATCCTTTACACATGTACTACTTTCAAGCCAGGTGTCACCCATCTGTAAAGGGTCATTTATAAAAGGATACCCCACCTTCTGATTTCCCTTCTTGCCCCTTGACCAATGGTTTTGTTGCCTTCCTCGTCTTCCTCCTGTTCACCCTGGTTTACTTTTCCAGACATGCATCTGGCTCAATGGCAAACACGATGTGTCTGTGAGGCTTCCCAGACTTGCCTCCCACAAGTGAAACACTCTGCTGATCAATGCAGGCCATCTGTAAGGCAGACTGTCGCCCATCTGCTAGCTTTCAGGACCAGGTTGGAAGAAAGTTAATGTGTAGGTTGGGGCAGAGATTTTTCAAAGGACTGTGGTCAAACAGACATGATGATGTAGGGGAAGATGCTGAAGGGTGACAATCATACTGAGAATGTAAATATCACAGCTCAAGTCTTCATTCCCAGGGGAAAGTCGAATGACACTTTGCAACCTTCTTGAAATGTCATTATTATTGTTCACAAGCAACATGCGAAGTCAAGCAATGCCACAAAGACCTCAGAGCACCCATCTTTCTTGGCCATACAATGGTGGAAGG